AGGGCAGGGCCAGGCCCAGAAGCAGTGCTCCTGGGGACCTGTGAAGGAAGTGAGTTGCTCTGGATGCAAAGGATCAGGAAGAAGCAGTGGTGGTTTTTCAGGTATCTGGGGTGCCAAGACAAGGAATGGGACAGGACCCAGGCTAGGAGGAGAGACCGGTGAAGGAGATGGGGAGGTGAGTGAGGCTGGGGGAGTCAAGGCGTGGAGGGCCCAATAGACTTACCCTGGAGAGAGAAGCCTGTGGGTTGGAGAGAGGCCTGTGGGTCCTGCAGGCCCAGGGAAGCAGAGGGAGGTGAGGGTGGGGCCAGACCCAGAAGCAGTGCTCCTGGGGACCTGAGAAGGAACTGAGTTGCTCTGGATGCACAGGATCAGGAAGAAGCAGTGGTGGTTCCCCAGGTGTCTGGGGTGCCAAGACAAGGAATGGGACAGGACCCAGGCTAGGAGGAGAGACCAGTGAAGGAGATGGGGAGGTGAGTGAGGCTGGGGGAGTCAAGGCTTGGAGTCCCCAATCAACTTACCTCAGACAGAGAAGCCTGTGGGTTGGAGAGAGTGTATTTTTCCTTTTTATAAGACTTTACAGGACTAGAGAGACGGCTCAGCATTTAAGAGCACTGGCTTCTCTTGCAGAGGTCCTGGGTTTGGTTCCCAGCACCCACATGGCAGCTAACAACCATCCATAACTTCAGTTCCAGGGGAATCCAATGCCTTCTTCTGACTTCCTCAGACATGGCATGACATGTATGTACTTACATACATGCAGGCAAAACACTCATACACACAAAATAAAAATAATAAAATATTAAAAAGTCTTTCTTATTATATATCATAATGGACAAGAAATAAAATTGTAGCCAATTGTAAGCCAAATGAGTTTATCATCAAATTCTATCAAAAACAAAACTAGAAAAATCAAATTTTTAGAGCAAATAAATATTTAATATGGTATAATTCTTGTGTTTAATCTGAGGTAAGGTGACCTTGTGAGAGCACCTAATCTATATACCCAGCTGAACAATATTATATAATTGTTATACAAATAATGCAAATTTACCTGATGTCCCACCCAATTCAGAGTAGGTTTCAAGCATACAACCAGCCTCTCTTACAATCCTTTTACTCATGCCTACTCATAGCATTTACAAGATGTGGTGGTTTGAATGAGACTGTCCCCTATAGGCTCCAAGTATTTGGACATTTTGTCCCCAGTTGGTAGTGCTGTTTTGGGAGGCCTTAGCTTAGAAGGGGTGGCCATGCTAGAGGAAGCATGTCACTGGGGGGTGGGCTTAGAGAGTTCTTAAGTCTTGCGGGATCTCCAGTCGCTCTCTTGCTTCCTGTACCTGTGTGCTGATGTGAGAGCTTAGCTTCTGCTGCTCCTGCTCCAGCCACCTCTGCCACCATGCCTTCCTGACATACCTCGCTGACGCGATGGACTCGTGCCCCTTTGGACCTGTAAGCTAAATAAATCCTTTCTTTTTAAAGTTCCCTTGGTCATAGTGTTTCTATCACAGCAACCAAAAAGTAACTAATACACAGGAGGAGGCAGAAGCATAAGGGAAGCCTCCTGTCACATGCTTACCTTGCCTCCCACTCACTTCAACCTAAATAAGAAAGACCTCACACTTGCATATATACACACCTTAGTCCAGCCTCTTTGTTTTATCTAACTTCTGTGAAGAAGCACACACTAGGCTCATCTTGAAAAACAGCCCACCTCTCTGTGTCCCCTGAATTGCGATTGCTGGTTTGATTGGCCATGTCTCAGCCTATGAACTTCTTGATTTATGGGCAGGAATGTAACACAGAAGCCAGAGAGAATGATTTTAAGGTATGACACCTGGGCAGTAGTTCTCTTAACTTTTTATGCTTCTGTCACAGAATTTAGAGTATCCAAAATGTGCTGCTGGATTAAGAGCAGGTTCTACTTGTTAATAGACCTGGAATTGCAGGTGTTATAATATCATCCTGTTTATAGAAAAGGCTAAATAAGTACTTACCAAGAAAAGAAATCTTTTTGTAATTTTTCTATAAATTGAAGACATATTGGACGGAGCATAATTTGAAAATGACTGTTCAAATGAACTGATTTTCATCCTGTTATGAGCCTCTGCCCTGTTTGGGGATAAAATTAAGACCTGGTTGCATGACATTGCTTTCAATGCTTCATATATGCTTCCTGCTTTATTTCTCTGCATTAGTATATTCTGTATGTGAAACTGAGGTTTGTCACCTGTTAGTAAGTTGTCAAATAAAATGAGTTCCCACAGCATAGATTACAGAGTGCTAGTGGTTTTCAAAGAGTCATTAGGTCAAAACCACTCTCATACCAACGCTAAGATACTATTTTTCCTTTCCAGTTGTATTGACACTTGCTCTAAGGATGCAAAGAGAATGATGGGTAAATTGTTGGCCCTTGGCAAAACCCAAGGCAATGCCAGCAGACTGTCCAAATGCCTTCCTTCACTGCTGTAATTCATGCTTTAAAGGTGACATGTTCACCTGTATATGTTCTTTGTGAAACAGTGAAAGTATTAATGTTATTAAATCTCCTTAGGAACATTTTCTTCAATGTACTTTGTGACAAAATAAAACAGTGAAGTAAGATTACTCAAGGAAAATTGTTATGATTGTTACTAATGTCAACTTGACAGAATCTAAAATCACCTGGCACACAAACATCTAGGCATATCTATGAGGAAATTTCTAGATTAGGTCAGTTGAAATGAAAAGGCCTACCTTAAAATGGTGGTGCTTTTCCATGTGCTGTGCTCCTGGCCTTAATGTAAAGCTGGGGAGCTGAGAAGGGTCAGTGGTTAAGAGCACTTGCTGCTCTTTCAGAGGTCCTACATTTGATTTCCAACACCCACATGATAGCTCTCAACCATCTCTAAGTCCAAGCCCAGAGAATCTGTTGCCTTCTGGGGATACCAGACAGGTATGTGGTACACTTACATGCATATAGGCAAAACACTCATACATATAAAATAAAAATTTGAAAGCCTTTTTAAAAAATAAGGAGAAAGCTAAGTGAGCATTCATTCATCACTCTATATTCCGACTATAGATGCCTCACACTGCTGAGTCAGGCTTCCACTACCACCAGGGACTAGATGGACTATACCTCCAGACTATGAATCAAAATAAACCCTTTGTTCCTTTATTTAAATTGCTTTCATCAGATATTTTGTCATAGCAAGGAGACAGGTAACCAATATAATTACTATTCAATCAAGCTGTAAGCAGAATTGGATCCTTTTGAAATGGAACACTATTTTTACTTGGAAGAACAGCTGAAAATTATTCTTATGTTGACTCCAGAAGTTGGCTGACATTTTCTGAAACATGAACACATTGTAATCTATGATAAAGTTCAAGATGTCAAGCAGAAACTGGAACTTTAGAAAACCTGTATTTTGTACCATGAGCTTGACAGTTTCCTGGAAACTTACTGACTCTTCTAATGATACAGTGATACCAAAAAATGTGACTTTCAGTGTCATAAAGTAAAACTGGCAAGCATTTGGAAATCTACATATCACAATGAACAATATTTTCCAAATGTCCGACGCATGGTGTTCCAGAGTCAGATGTGGATAAAGAGCTATTCAGAGGTCAAAGTAGGTAGGCAGGACATAGCAACACAATTCAACTTTGTGTAGCAATTTCCTCCAAGATAAGGCATTCCATCTTGGAGGGAAGCTCCTTAAGACATAGAATGTTGAAAGGGGAGGTGAAACATTCCATCCTGCAAGGAAGTGCCTTAAGTTCAGGAAGAAAACAACTCAGTAGCTTCAAGAAGCCCCTGAAACTGACCAGAATCACTAAGAGCCTCTCTCCCCAAGCAGTGAAAACAGTTGAGAGTCACCCTCAGACAAGCTGAGCTGCCTAGAAGAGGCTCAGACCAACTGAGATAACTGAAAGGAACACTCTCCAACCTTTTGAGCTGCCTTCAGGTTATGCAGAGCACTTCAGTTTTCCTGGTTTTTGAAATCTGTCACCCATGCTGGAGTGGGCTTTCACTGATACATCTATCTTTGAATTATTTCTCTCCCTGTAAGTAATCTCTCACCCATACTTCTATAAATAACCCCAATACACTTTTGTGCTACCCTTACTTTGGCCTGTTGTTGGTTCCCTATCTGGGGTGAGTCCAGACTTGTTTGTCTCCTGAGGAATAATGTCACATAGTATCAGCCCCTTGGAAGACTGAGCTGAAAAGATCACTTGAGCTTTTGAGTTAAAATCAACCCCGGCAACAGTGACCTGTCTGAAAAATAAAGCCCAAAGAAGGCCAATGTATTTTAATAAAAAGATGTACTGAAATTGTCATTGTCAGTTTCAGAGTCCATGGGGCAAGTGAGCTTTAAGAAATCACTCCCTGAATCTTCATGTTAGTAACAAAGAACAAGCATGTTCTTGATTGCTGATGGATATGGAAGGACCCAGATCCTGTGGGTGATGCCATCCATAGGCAGGTGGGCCTGGGCAGTACAAGAAAGGTAGCTGTGCAAGCCATGGGGAGCAAGCTAGTAACCATGGTGTCTGCTTCAGTTCCTGCTTCCAGATTCCTGCCTTGAGTTCCTGCCCTCACTTCCAGAAGCAATGGATACTGCAAACTGGAATAAACCATGTCCTCCCAAAGTTGCTTTTAGTCAGTGTTCGGGACACATAGAAATTGAGAACAGAATAGTGGTTACCAGATGCCACAGAGAGTTAAGAAGACAGGAGGGCTGAGAAGCATTAGCCAATGGATACTAAATAATAGTTACACAGGAAAAACCAGTTGTTTGTTACTGAACAGTAGTTGACCATAGGTAAAAATAATGTACTGAATATTCCAAAAGACCTAAAAGAAAAAATATTGAATGCTTTAACCCAAGAAATAAAATTTGGAAATAGATTCACTTACCTTGATTTGAATATTACTGGAGTGCCTTATAAATACCTCAAAAATAGTAGCCATTTTATGTGTGAAATTCAATTTAACTTTAAAGTACAAATTTATCCAAGGTGATTCACTCTCCAAGGGGCCAACTAGCACCATTCTCAGGACCGTGGCAACTTGGAAGAAAATTTGGCATGCCTAAGGTCTTTGGGGAGCAAGGGAGGCACATTTCCCTTGTGTCACTTTAGCTGTTTGTTTAGTGAGCCTGGATAGATTATGTCCTCACAGACAGGCTGTTTGTCATCTTTCTTGACACAGGCCAGAGGCCCTGATGTGTAGCAGGCTTCTTTAGTCATCATTTGTGACCTTCCCTCCAACAAGGAAAAATGCATCCACAGAATTGGCCCTGGTGGTCATTTTGATCACAAGGGTGTGGCTATAACATGGTCATAGAAGAAGACAAGAAGACTTTTTGAGACTTTCTACAACACCTTCATTGAAGAGATGCCCCTCAATGTCGGTGACCTCATTTGAAGGACTGTTGCTACCTGGTGCTAGTCAGGGTTCAGTCTTGGGGGACTGAGGAACAGCTGGAGCGGGGAGGGAAAGAAGCCAAGGAATAGATATCTTGTCTCTTTTTTTCTTTTCGAATGTAACTTTTTGAGGTTAAAAAAATTAAGTATAAATTTTACAATTAAGCAAAGATGATACAAAGCCTATTTTTCTAAATACTGATTTTTAATTTTTGCCCCAAGAGAGCAATATGCAATATAATGTTTTGCAAAGGTGGGGAGCAGCAATGAGCTGCAGGTCCAATGAGCCACGTGGTCACGAGGGGAAACAGCCCACTCTACAGGGAACTGTGTGGTCAAGTTATGAGACACCGAAAATTAGGTTATCTTATGGTTTTTATCATACAATGTTTATGCTTTTTCAAAACATAACCCCATCACAAGTCAGACCTGTACATACCTGTATGAAGCCATATTTTCTTCATATATTTCAATTAAATTAAGATATCTCAACAGACCGGGGATTCAGAAGTAGATACAGGAATTTAGCTGTCATTTATTAATGTTTTATATCACTAATTTCATATTCAAAAATATGAAACTGTCTCTTCTAGCTTCTGAACAAGTTTTCTGCAGAATAATTTTCATTAAAATGCTCACATTAACATGTACCATGTTAACCGTTGTCATTTTTAGATGAATTATGTATTTCTAATGACCCATTTTCATTTAGGATATGGTAAATATTGGTATATGTAACTCACATAAACAAAGGCTCTATAGTGATCATAATAATTTTTAAGAAAATAGAGAGTTCCTGAGACCAAAATGTTTCAGAACCATTGATTTAATAGATTGTGGTCAGCATTTTTAAAGTGATAGTGCTAAACCCACTGTTTTTCAATATTATTAAAGTCATATTTTGCATTAACTTTGTGTTTTACATTATTGCACATTATGTGTATTAATATAGGCTCTTGAAATGAATGTTCCAATTATGTAGATATAAATATTTATATGCAGGGTCACAAAATAATAAAATTTTTAACTGTTGTAGTCAAAACATTTTGAAAAAACACAAGTGTCCTAGATCATCAGCTTCTTGGGAGCAAGAACTGTGCTTTTTTATCTTTCTAGGCCAAGATACTCAGCACAATGTCTGACACATATATCAATTCAATAAACAGAATAAACCCTATCTCTCAATTTCCACTTCCTATGTCCCATCAGCACATCCCATCAGCTCTGTCTTCAAAGCCCATTCAGTGTATCCCCTCACCATGAAACCCAGGGACCTTTCCCTCTTACACTCACTATTGTAATGGTCTAACTGTTCACCTTCGAGTCAGCTTTTATCCACACAATCCATCCTTAATATAGATGGCAAAGTTATTCTTTTGCCTTCTTATATAAAAAGCTCAACTAGTTCCAATCTCAGCTCCTGTTTTCTTCCCTTTGCTTGGTCCCCACCAGCTACCTTAGGACTACTTCTAGTTTTAGAACATGTAGATCAATCACTATGACTTTGATTTCATGATCATAAATTCTCCATTTATTTAAGGAGTAACTAACTGCTTTCTCATTGGATTTGAAGCCTGCTACCTGGGACGGAATATATGTCTGTTACTGTAAACTTGGTGGAAAGCCTGTGGCTAGGTAGGTCACAGGCCTTAGGGGAGAAAAGACTACCAATGTTTTGTTAAGCAGATATATGATCAAACTTCCTTCTAGACATTTGTTTATACCTATAGACTAGGGGTCAGAGAAGCTTGTTTGTGCAGTGGGTGGGTGATGGTTAATGAAGAAGCTCATAACTGGTCAGCCGTGCTGAGGATAAGTGACTGTTGAATACTCACCTCTAAATGGGACATCCATAGAACCCTCTCCAAGACCAAGGAAACATTGCAGAAGAGGCTGAAGGACTGTAAGAGATGGCAGATGGGAAGAAGCACAATGAAGGTCATCTGCTGGGTATGACATGATGACACGGCCACTGCAATCATGAACACACAGCAGCTGTGGTTATATGCACAAGGCCCGTATACACACACACACACACACACACACACACACACACGCGCGCGCGCGCGTGTGTGTGCACAATCAATCAATCAGTACATGAAAGTAAGAGGAGGATTCATTGAGGAGAAGGGGGTCAGCAGGAGTGAGGGGGGATAAGGGAGTAAGGGGAATAAATATGATCACTCATGAATATATGAAACTGTCAAAAATAAATACAAATAAATTATCCATTTACACCAAGAACCATCAGTTAACATTCTGTTCTTTTGTTGGGTTTTGCCATTCACTTCCCTGTGCCCTCAGTGACTTCATATCCCTTAAGCTTTTCTACTGCTCCCTTGAACCTTTCATTGCCAATCATATTCATAGTCTTAGAACTGAGTAAACAGTAGCGCACAAGCTTATTACTGAATCACTCAAGTGCAGCCTTTGTCTCTAAATGGTGCCCATAAAAATCAGCTCTCAAACATATACTAATAAAAGCTCAGCTGGAATAGTGTGACATAAAGTCATATTATTTCAAAACAAGTTTTGAGAAATAAAAGCAAAAATTTCTGGTCTCCAATTGTAAAAGAGTAGGGAAGTTTGAAAACAGAAACATAGACTGATATTTTAAGGAAACAATATTACTAAATTAGTCTGTTTCTAAATTAAGAGGGAACTGTGAGTTTGTTAATAAAGCAGAACAAGTAGAAAAAAAATGATTAGGGATACAGATTTGCTGCCTCCTTCACTGTCACACCACGTCATGTCACGCCAACCAAGTTCTCAAAGTCCTACCAAATTAAGGTGGTCATAATGTCCTGGAATTTGCATGATGAAAAATTATTTCTTTGATATTTAAAATCTGGTAAACAGCTAAATAAAGTACAGTAAATAGTTACAAGGCAGAATTTCTGGCACATTTCCAGATGATCATGATGCCTTTCTTGGAAAAGTAGCAAGAAAATGAGAGAGACGATAGCTTTAGTTCCCAGATAACAGGGAACACTGGGTTTATTCTGCACATTGCTAAACTTGTCCTAATCCAGCCTCAAATGAGTATAAGAAACATATTTATGCAGCTTTTTTGTTGTTGTTCTTTTTGAGACAGGGTCTCCCTATAGCCCCAGACTATGTAGACCAGGCTGGTCTTGAACTCACAGAGATCCACCTGCCTCTGCCTCCTGAGTGCAGGGATTAAAGGCGTGCACAGCCACACCTGGCTTAGGCAGATTTTTTTAAAGAATAATTGTATCTGTGAATCCTGCATAGACTGAGGAATAGAAAAAATTAGTGCAAGAAATTGTATCCAATTTATGATAATGGAAGTGAACAAAAAATGAAAATGAGGGGGAGAGGCCAAAGGAAAGAAATGGACAATCAGAGTAAACATAAGTGAATATAAAAATACACAATTCCTAAAATGACTGAAGGTTAAGAGAAAGCAAGATCATGATAGGAAGAAAATTAATTGGCTGCTTTTCCAGACTTCTCTTCAAAGCAGTCTGATATTCATTGACATCAGTCACCATAAGTCCAGGAATTAGTCCTGCATCCTTAGTAAGGACATTTCAACTCACTCTAAATTGTTCCCAAACTGCTCTTTTGTGTAATTCCTTTCATCTCTGGGGCGATCTAAATGTTCTTAATCAACATAGGATATAGCACTGTAGCAAGAAATACTCTGTTCCCATAGCGACAGAGACATTGGGCCTAGGGTTAAGTAAGGGTCTTCCAGTATGGCAGCTTTACTGCACTCACATTCTCTGATAACACTTTTCAAAGTCTGCCTCTGTCGTATGTCACTATTCCTGGGGAGATGTGAACGAACATCTACTCACCCCAGTTAGGGAACCAACAACAGACCAATATAAGGATACCACCGGAGTCCAACTTGGTGAACAAATGAGTTTTTATTGGGATTACTTACAGGAGGTGGGTGAGGGGTTACATACAGGAACAGAAGTGACTCACCAACAGCTGTATCACCAGAAGCCCTCCCCAGCATGGGTGAGGGCTCACAAAGGCTAGAAAGCTGGACCTTACTACACAACTTTCACACAGCTCTGTAAGTTAAGAGGCTGTCTATTTCAGACAGCTCAGTTGGTCTCTGACCCTTCCAGGCAGCTTGGCTAGGCTCTGACTCTTCTAGACATCTCCGCTGGTTTGAGTCAATTATAGGCAGATCAGCTCGTCTGAGAGTGTCTCTCAGCAGTCCTTAAATACCATTGAGGAAGGAGAAACCTAGTAAATCTGGTCAGTTTCAGGGATTTCATAAAACTTTTTAGTTGTTTGCTTCCCTAGCTTAATGTACCTCCCTCCGAGATGGAAAGTTTCACTTCCATCACAGAAGAAATAGCCACACAACTTTACCCTTTCTTCCAGCTCATACATTCATTCTGCAACCGTCCCTGTGTCCTAGAGGGAGGTGAGATAGATGTCTAGTTAAAGTTAAACATTCAGCCACTATGCCAATGCAACAGTCACTTGTTCCTAGGAGCTTTACTGTGGCTATAAGTCTCTGGGATACACCATCATTTGCAAAAGAACTTTATTTCCATGGCTATTTTTGGCTGACAACACAAATGCTTAGAAGGCCTAAGTACAAATGTTTAGAAGGCAGTTTGACAGGCATACCGTATCCCTCTGACAAAATAATAGAAGGTGCTTCTCCTCTGGGGTCTATGACCCACCCAGGCACAGGTTTTCATCCTAGTTTTTAGTATGAACCCCCTCTTATGGAG